TCTATAAACACTAAATCGAATGTTCTGGAAAGGCTCTTGAGAACTAAAATGAATTAGTAAGGATTTAGATATGAACAGGGCAATCATGAAGATTGGGAGATTTTTTAAAACATTTATTTACTTATTTTGAGAGAGAGCTCATACATGCACATAGGTTGGGGGAGGCGATGGGCAGAGAGAGGGAGGGGGAATTCCAAGCAGGCTCCACTCTGTCAGCACGAAGCCTGATGTGGGGCTTGATCCCACAAACAGTGAGATCATGATCTGAGCCGAAATCAAGAGTCAAGGGCTTAACCAACTGAGCCACCCAGGCACCCTGGGAGCTATTTTAAAAAGCAGTAAGAATTTTCACTGAGATAGTTTCACCTCAAACTGAAAATCAGAGGCAATGATTCGCAGGTATTATTAATACCAGAAGATGATTCAAAATTCCAATCAGTAAGTTCCAAAGATCTGTGGACCCACATCAAAAGACTGATGAATAACCGAGTATTTAAATGATTTATGTTATAAAACAATATTTAAGGTAAATATGCATTGTTCTATAATTTTCTACTTTAACCAATTTTTTCTATTCATCAACACACCATATGTCCCAGTATAACGTAGGTTAAGTAATATAGACGAGTCTTCTCATATGTAAAATAAAGAAAACAATCCCTACTCATAAGGCTGCTTTGAGGAGTAGATAAAATTATCCGTATAAAGGAATACTTGCCACATAGTATGATACATTACTCACTAGCTACCACCAATATGCTGGTGAGGGTAACACAATGGTTAAAAGTAATGGCACGAGGAACCAGTCTTCCTTCCATCCCAGCTCAATTACTTATCAACCCGGTGACCTTAGGGGAAGTTACTTAAGCTTTCTGTGCCTCAAATCTTAACACCAGTGAAATGTCCATAATAAGAGCTCCGACTACCCAGGATTAGTATCAGGATTCAATGAAGTAATAAATGTAAAGTTCCTGAGACATAATAAATAAATGCTTAATGTAATAAATTTTAGCCACTCTTATTTTGTATATTATTGGCTTTTCGGCAACATAGAGAATTGTTCTTTCTTAGAGCATCAAGATATTTGTTATTACCACAGTCCCTTTGGTTCATGCTTCTCACTCTCTAGAAGGAACACAGGACGCAAGCAATTTTACTACAGACAGACCAACAGTGCCATCTAGTGGCAATTTTCTGATAAATTCGCCAACAGAGAAAGGTTGCCCTAAACAGGTAAAAATTTCTACAGATATGAATTTAATTTTTTTAATTTGTTTATTTTTGAGAGAGAGAGAGAGATAGATAAAGGTTGTGAGCGCAGGGTAAGGGCAGAAAGAGAGGGGGACAGAGAATTCCCAGCTGGCTCCGCTTTGATAGCAGAGTGGGGTTCGAACTCCTGAACCGTGGTATCATGACCTGAGTGGAAGTCGGATGCTCAACTGACTGAGACGCCCAGGCGCCCCTGCATTTAATTTTTAAAACAAACGAAATCTAATGTTTTAGATTTGTAAATTTGGAAATTTGTGATGTGTTTTTTAATAATTATTTGAATTCAGTACAACTACAGCCGGGAGAAATTTTTAAAAACTACAAACCACAAGAAGAGTGCTTGGCAATTATGGTACAAAGAAGACTGTTTTTTGTTTTTGTTTTTGTTTTTTTTTAATATGAGCCAAACAATTGGGCTTAAACCCACTGCCAAATTTTTTTGTACAGATTTGCAATGCTAATAAATCCGTATGAGAATTAGAAATGTGAATTTTTGGTACAATTCAAATAGCACGATAGTTATATACCAAGGAATTAAGTTATATTGTTGGATAAAGTATAATCAATACCATACAAGGATCTCATGCAATAGCACCATTCACTTTTTACTTTCTGCAAGTCAAAACTTATAGATGAACTCAAAACTACTGTAATCTAGGGGCGCCTGGGTGGCTCAGTCAGTTAAGCATCTGACACCGGCTCAGGTCATGATCTCATGGTTCGTGGGTTCGAGCCCTGTGACAGGCTCGGTGCTGACAGCTCAGAGCCTGGAGCCTGCTTTAGATTCTGTGTCTCCCTCTCTCTCTGCTCCTCCCCCACTCACACTCTGTCTCTCTCTCAAAAATAAATAAACATTTAAAAAAAAAAAAAAAACCTTCTGTAATCTATACTGTATGGCAGTCCTCACTTCACTCAGTTGAAATACACATGAATTTCACAGCCACAATTTACTTAAATAGCACCAATCGTCCAATAGCACAGTTCAAAGTTCAGTTATCATGGTAAATTAACTGTGAGTAATTATGTAAGAGCTGCTGGCCCTCTGGTTCACAAATCACCGTATAAATAAAGATGAGCATCATGTTCCCTGAGCAACACATTTGACACTTCTTTAAAAGTCCGTTGATGATTGATCACTGCACATTTGTTATTTGGGTCAAACATCAACAGCAAATCATACTTCCTCCTGGTCTCCCGGTGGTCAACTTACAAGACATTTCACAAAAGTAGATAATCAACAGAGGGAATTAACCTGTAAAGGTGACAGGGCAGCAAAAAAATAAAATGTGGTGACACTGGAAGTGAAATGAGATGTGAACAGAAGGTCTGAAAATGGCAACAACAAAGCGAAAATAACAGAAACCTGTGTCCCCAGGAAGGGAAGAGCTATGATTAAGTGCTCCGGTAGGACTCTGATTGAATGGAAACGGGTTGTGCAGGAATGAGGTGACCCTGGAATGTTGACTCTGGGCCCTTCGGAGCAATGTGGATATGCAGCCACAGAAGCTCTAATGAAGGTGGACTGTCTCCCGTACATGAAGAAGGTTCTTATGACACAACGATGACAACATCCCAGAGGAAGTGGCACCAGCATAAACCATCCCATAAAAGAAACTCTCAGAGAGATTTCAGAACCGTGAAAAAACTACGAACCATAAGAAGACTGCTTGGCAAATGATTACAAAGGACGAAATGGAAACTGATCCAAACTTAGAGAGGAATATGCAGTTGAATTCACCAAGGCCCAGGAAAGACACTTGCTCCATATTGTAAGTTACATGATGAGAAGGCAAGCTCCCGTGCAAGCTCCTCTGAACAAGTTTTTTGCAAAGAAATAACACTTTAATTCTCGATGTTTCTAATGTTTTAATTTATAGTGTGCTGAACAAATATTAGCTTCCCTCTTTTTTTGTGTTCCATTTCCCTATATGTTTATGAACCACAGAGAGAGAGTTTTTAATGTTTGGGGAGAACATTTTATTTTTTTTTCAACGTTTATTTATTTTTGGGACAGAGAGAGACAGAGCATGAATGGGGGAGGGGCAGAGAGAGAGGGAGACACAGAATCGGAAACAGGCTCCAGGCTCTGAGCCATCAGCCCAGAGCCCGACGCGGGGCTCGAACTCACGGACCGCGAGATCGTGACCTGGCTGAAGTCGGACGCTTAACTGACTGCGCCACCCAGGCGCCCCAGAACATTTTAAAGGTCAGAGAACGAGGG